CAGAGCGGAGTTGGGGGGATTTCGGAAGCCCCCTGTGGCTCACACCAGCGAATGTCCCTTTTGTTGTTCTTGTCAGTTCCAGCCGATGAGGTGATAACGTTCAAAATCGAGCAGCTGGACTCTGAGGAATGCTCCCAAAGCTCCCAGCCCGCCGTGACCGGAGCCAGGGAGTCGGAGGAGCTGGTTTTCCAGGCTCCCAGCGAGGCGCTGCCCTTTGATGGTCAGTACAGCTCCCCTGTGCAGCAGGGAACCCAGAGCGTGAGCAGGCTGGTGCCGACCACCCTGGGGGAAGAGGATCTCGGCGAAAGCGGCGCTGTCACGTTCTATGGGCAGAACTGTCCCAACAAGAGACCTCACTCGTGTACCGCCTGTGGGAAGGGCTTCTGTCTGAAGAAGATGCTGACGACTCACCAGGAGGGCCAGGGCACGCCGTTCAGCGGTGAGCACGCCGGAGACGAGGAGGGCTTCCTCCATCAGCAGCGCCGGCAGACCCACGTGGAAGGCAGGACCCGTGTGGCCACGGAGAGGTACAAGCAGAACCAGAACGCAAAAGCTCAGGCCGGCGTCCCGGCCGCGGACAAGGTGTACGGCAATCCCAGGTGCATGAAGAACGCCAACACCAACAGCAACTGCAAGCCAGATCAGAGGCCACACCCGCGGGGGAGGCCTTACAGGTGCGACAAGTGTCAGGAGTGCTTCTCCCAAAAGAAAACCCTCATCATCCACCAGCGTATGCACTCAGGCCGGAGCGGAGGGGTCCTATTCTGCTCGTACTGCGGGAAGACCTTCAGCCACCCCTCCAACCTGATCCGGCATCAGAGGATCCACACAGGGGAGAGGCCGTACCAATGCAACGAGTGCCCAAAGCGCTTCACCCAGAAGCAGCACCTCCTCCAGCACGAGAAGATCCACCTGCGCGAGAGGAACTGCGGGGTGACGCAGAGCGCGAGAAAGGCGCCGCTGCACAGCTGCTAGGCTGCGCAGGCCCCCGCAGCCCTGCGGCCCCGGGAGGAGGGAGGAGAGGAGACTGCCTCTGCTGCTCAGCCCAAAAGGCTCTCTTGACCATTTGTCCCAGAGATCCAAGCGAAGTAGAATGACGATCCGCCTTGGCACCGCTGCCCTTTTCTTCGTGGTGGTGATGGTGTGCCACAGTACCTCATAGTCTGCCCAAAAAATCTCTCCGGAATAAAAATGGTTTGGGCCTCTCCAGGTTTGAGTCGGTTGTCTGAACTGGTTCCAGCGAGGCTGAGTTTTCTGAAGCTGCTCTTTGCCTGGAGTTTCCCTGGCTGCTCCCTTTGACAAAGTTCTGCCGTCCTCAGTTTCACGGGTGAGTTTGAGTCGCGCATTCGCCGAGGGCTCCTGGCAACTAAACACGTGCACAGGGTGAGGCCTCGCTGGTGGTTTGCGCGGGTGCCCCCCCTGCCAAGGAGGGGCAGCCAGGCGGTTCCTCGGCGCAGGCCAAACGATGTTTTTGCTGCTGCTTCTGCTCAGGAAGCGAGCTGGAAAAGATAGGTTCAGTTCCCTCTCCAGAGCTTGAAATCAGGTTTAGTTTGCTGTAAGTGATGACGATCGGGCTATGTTCTGCTTGGAGTTCCTCTGGTGTGCACCGGGACGTGCCCCGCTGGTGACTTGGTTTGCATCCCCGTAGCCAGTGGGGCTGTGCTCGGGGCAGACCTGTGCTCCCAAGGCTGACGTGAGCGTTGGGATAACTCTCCGCTGACTGCCTGCACGTTAACGCTTCTTTGTATTTCGGTACCGCCTTCATCTCCCTCCCCTCCTGTGAGCTCGGGGTAGGGTTGGTTTTTGGTCTCGGGGATCAGCTTTCACCAACCCGCCAAGACAAATTTCCCAGCGTCTGAAATGCGTTTAGCGAATGGCCCAAATAGGTGGCGCAGCCCCATGGCTGGTGTTGCTGCCTGACCTGTTTTACACCTGCTGCTCGTTTTCCTCATGACTAATTGGGCTTTAGAAACCCCTCTGTTGCTCCTGGTCCCGCAGCGTCTGTCCAGGGGAGAGTGCGGGAGGCTGGCTCATCCCCTCGGAGGCAGGGGCGTTCCTCTGGCTCCCGCTGGCTGCCGTGGCAGATGTTTCAGCCTGGCTTTGACCAAGGCGTGAGGTCTCTTTCTCAGGTCCTCGCTGTTCGTTGTCGCTTGCCCTGCCAGCAGTGTGAGACAGGAGTGCTCCTGTGCCCGCTTTGGCCCAGCCAGCGAGGCCAGCTCGGAGCTGTGGGCCGTTGAGGCTGATGGGATGTTTGCCCAGAGCGGATCGGGGTGAGCCTGTGTGAACCCGCGCTGTGGGAGCTGGCGCGGAGCCGAAGCGTCTCCAACCACTGCAGGTGTTTGCCAGGCAGTGCCTGACTGTCTGCTGCCGTCCCGGGTCCTAGTGCTGCTGAGGCCTTCGGTTTCCCAGCTCCGGACGAGTCTGAGTAGGTCTGCCTGTGGCGAGCCCCTCTCTGTGCGCGTATCCGTTCGGGTTTTTTCCAAATAAGAAACCCGTGAGGGCAGAGGGTGTCGTCTTTTGTCGCTTCCGGGTGTTCAGCGGCCGCTCGCTGCCATCAAGCAGCGAGCAGGGATGGGTTTTTCTCCGCTGTTTGACGTGCCGGAGGAGAAACTCTTAGCAGTACGGGGCGCTTGGTACCCGGGCAGGCAGTTTGGGTCCTGCCCAGGTAAATTAACCAGGTCTGCAGCGGTTTCCTGCTGGTTAAGCTGCTTGTTTACGTTTTACTCTTTTGTTCCTTAGACTGTGAGCCTTCAGGGCAGGGAACTTGTTCCTCTCTCTTTGTAAAATGCCAGTTAAATTCGCAGCAGTAGATACCTGATTTTTAATAACATTAAACTTGAGCAAATTAAAGCTGTGAAGTACTAAATGCTTCTGGGCTTTTAGTCTTTTTTTAAATAATTTTACTGCCTGGTAAGTGGCAGCTTGTACCGTACTGGTGGAGAGACAAAAATCCACCTTGAACTGGAGAAAGAACGGGGTGGGTTTCTTTTTTTTCATATGGCAGTGGAACCTGTGCAGGAACATTGTTTTCCGTGTGTGTATCTGAGATCCGAACAGAGCCTGACTGGTAAGAGTGCCTAAAAATAGGGTATAAATAAGGTCACTGTACAATTCTCCTCCCCCAGGGAGACCACATCGACCCTGCTGCCAGCAAAAAGTTTTCGGCAACCGCAGCGTTGCGGTTGTTATCAGTTCAGCGTGCTCGGTTTGCGTCTGGAAGAGTGGGATGTACCCTGGGATGAAGATGCTGCCGCATAAAGCAGCGGGGGGGGCGCCTGCTACCAATTGCCCCATGGCCAGAACATCCTGAATCCTTGGGATCACTTTGGCAGCGCCCGTTGGTTTTCTATAGACAACTTCAGGTGCCTTTTCTGGGCTGTTCCTGCATCTTGCAGGGCAATAACAAGAAATATTGAAGTCCTGCCACGTTGCCAGCTCGCCTCCCAGTCGCACGCTTGTGTATGTTCTAGAGCTGACCTCCTGCCACTTTGTTATTATCATAGAATCCTAGGATCCCAGGTTAGAAGGGACCTCCAGGATCATCTGGTCCAACCTTGCTAGGCAAGAGCCCAGCCTGGACAAGATGGCCCAGCCCCCTGTCCAGCTGAGGCTTGAAAGTGCCCAATGTGGCAGAGTCAACCCCTCCCCTGGGGAGATTATCCCAGTGGGTGACTGTGCTCATGGGGAAAAATTTTCCTGTCGTGTCCAATCGGAATCTCCCCAAGAACAATTTGTGTCCATTCCCCCTTGTCCTCTCCATGGGACTCCTTGTGCAAAGGGAGTCTCCATCTTCCTTGAGGCCACCCCTTAGGTACCGGTAGACATTTCAGTTTTCAACATCAGTTAAAGTAAAAACGCAGATGTCGTGCTCACACCTGAGAGAGGTCTCTGTAGCCACAACTGTCAAAGAATCGGTGCTCAGGCGGTGCAAAGGCGGGTGCCTCAGAAGCGTGAGCTGGGGGGTGGTGGTGCCAGCTCAACGGCACTCACCTCTTTCTACTGGAAGACTTCACACGTTAACCGCCGTGTGAGCATCAGCAGCGCCCGATGCGCTCCTATTGCATCACTCCTTGATGCTGCCTTTGATGGTGCAGATGAAGCAGTTGTGCATCGCGAGTCATCGTTTCCCTATTCTAGCCCGGCTCCCCTGTGTTTCACAGACAAATATGTGCATTTATAGCAAATCACAGAGCTATTTTGAGATTAGAGTTGCTTACGCTGCAGAAATTCAACCCTGAATCCAAGAAGAAATGTCAAGTGACTGTGGTCCGTCGCTTTTCCTCCTGGATCGCTTTAGGACCTCAGGAACTCCCACCAGACCTTGGCCTTGGTGTAAGGAGTCGGCTGATTAGGCGGCACTGTCCCTGCCAGAACTCCTACGTGGCTGAGGCGGGGAGTGAGAGCGGGCACAATCAGTTATCCCTGGGGAGCCTTGGAACATACCTGATCTGGATCGTAGCCCGAGGGGCATGGTACCATCGTTACTGGAATTCCAGATATTACCGACTGGATTGTGGCCCGGATGGAGATTCACTGATGACTGAAGCCAATCGCCTCACGACCCTATAAAACAGCGTCCCAAGTGAGGCCCTTGGAGCTCCTGGACCGTGGTGGGCTGCGAGCAGCACCTTCCTCTGAGCAGGACGCCTCTCGGAGCTCGCAGACTCTCAAGTTGGTGAAAATTGGAGGTCCATCGCCGAAGACTGAGGGCTCAACCCTCACCCACTGGGAAATGCTGAAATGTTTGATTGAGTATTTCACTGAATCTGAGGGGAATTTTTAACAGTTGTACCTTTATACGTGTAAAGAGAGAGAGAGAAAAATATGCCTGTGTGTGCACGTGTGCGTTGATTTAAGTAACTGTGAATGTGCGGTTGAATTACAAAGTGAGCCTTGGGCTGCTGCTAGACACGTGTTATCCTTAGGCATAGACCGTTGCCCAAGCCTGAGGCTCAGATCAGATCCAGCTGCATGTGGACACCTCTTCGAGAAGGAGTTTAGAATGCACGGGGGTCTACTCTGAACCTCGAGAGCTCCTCCGTATCCTCTGCATCCACGATCTCCCCGTGAACTGTTCTAACTGCAGCGCGACTTCATCTTCCTTTGTGTTCTTCTTCCATGCGGTAAGAGAGTGAACTTCATCATCTTTGAATCTTTAACTGCGCTGCTGTTTTGATGAAACCAGATTTTGTCCAATTGCTTTGTTAATCGACTGATGATTGAGTGCTATTAAAATATCACGATCCCATCCCGTGATTTGCCATGAAGGCACAAATGAATTCTAAACTGCTGAATGAATTCAGCTAGCCAAAATGCTACTGAATCAAATTGCGTAAAGTCAGGCGATTGGCGTAGTCGGCAGGACCCCAAACCAGCATACGCAATGGTGGCATAGAAAGGCGCTGCTCTTCCTGGG